TCTAGCGCTCTACCTCTAGGTCACGGCCGTGAGAGGGGATGCGTTATAGCAAATTATGCCATACGTCAGATTAGTTTGAGTTACAATGTAGAAAACCAGAAAACTCTTGAAATACACTGCTATTTTGTAGCTTTTCAACCTTTGAACCAACCAATCGCCCAACGACTACCACCCTTCGACATTTTAAAATCTAAGTTAATCAAGGGGCATAACTAGATTTTTCACTACTCAAAACCAATACGACTCGCAGTTTATTTTTCTGACACCCCCCCCCCCCCCCCACCTTGTTATCAAAGTTGAATTTTAAGATTAAATGGTACCTCGAAATACGAGTGTCCTGATGTACGAGAACCTGCCATTGAGCGAAAGATATTTTACCTTTGAAATGCGAGTAAAATTGGGGATACGAGGAATCTTAGAAGATTTTTTTTTTAATAAATGGCCTGCAGGTGAAATTGATGAAAGCGCGACTATAAAAGGCGAAGACCAACGAATAAGTAAAAAATATTGATGAAAATAAGGGGAAAGTAACACAAATTGTTTGGTAGCATTTCACGTAAGTTACCAAGTTACATTAAAGCTAAGGGATTAAAGGTAAAATGTAAAAATCTATATATATAATTCTCTTCTGGGAGCCGTTAGAAAACAAGCTGCAAGCGCCTCCTTGCAGTCCCCTCTCTTTCTCTCTATCACTATCACTACCACCCCCCACCCCACCCCCACATTGTCTGGCGTGAGCTGTGGTCACGCTAAATGTTTACAAAGCTAAATGTTTACAATCGTTTCGTAGAGCCGTAGAGTCGGGTTTCTATTAGGGGCAGATAATTTAGTTCGATTTTAAACTTACAGGAGGTAACTAAGAAATAACTAAGAGGAGGCTGCTTTCACGGGGGGGGGGGGGGGAGGGGGGGGGTGTAGGGTCGGGGTTAGGGGAAAGGGGGGTTAGTGTTTTAAAGCAAATATTTTCAGTGGCAGCATTGGTACTGTCGAATTCACAAATTATGAATTACTGAAAAGTAGAAAATAAAACAACTAAATAGCGGCGTATGATACGCTGCGGGTCGGCTCGTACAGAATAATTCAGTTGTAACAAAAACAAAATGTATGTTTTAATTGATATAGAAAAAAAATTATAGTATACAATGTATACAAACATTGTCGCATTTGTTGTAGAGCTTGGTGAAGTGAAACAAGTTGGTGTCGTAGTTCTGGAGCATCGAGTCTAGTTATGTTTAGGTATCGAAGTTTGATATGTCTTGTGAATGTAGTAGAGTATATCGAGTAGTCGTAAGTTAGATGATTTCAATTCAGTACGGAACACACTACTAAGAAAAGCAGGCGTTCTTCAGTTGAAAAATCTTTAGTTTTTTTAGGAATCTATATTACCACTCCTAAAGTATTAATATATATTAAACAGGATGGAATTTATAACTAACTGTAAACTTTGTTTTTTTTTTCAAAATTATAATTTTTAAAATATTTAATCAATAATTCTAGCAATGTCTGAAACAATAAGATCTACCTATGTCAGGGGTAGGCAACCTTTTGAGACAGAAGAGCCAAAAGTTACAATTTTCAAAATTTCCCAGCTTTTAAAGAGCCACAAACATTTTTATTTTAATATTATGATCTTTGATTAGGATTACGTATATATATATATATATATATATATATATATATATATATATTATATATATATATATATATATATATATATATATATATATATATATATATATATATATATATATATATATTTAAAGCAATGTATTTAATATGTAAGTGTGTGTCTGTCTGTCTTTTATTCATTACTACACCTTTCATCCGATCGCCATGAAACTTTAGAAAGCTGTTGAGGGTACTCATGGGGGGATATTTGCGAAAATAAAATGTGAAAATCGCAAATAGAATAGTGAGTTTTTATTGTTTATGTTTATTATTATATCGTTCATTACCGAGTGTTGCAGACTAATATTTTTATGAGTTTCAAGAAGAAAATAAAATAATAAAATAATTATTAATATTTGTCTATGGAACTGGAGAGCCGCACCTCGACATCAAAAGAGCCGCATGCGGCTCGCGAGCCGCAGGTTGCCGACCCCTGACCTATGTTTTAGTTTTTGAAAGACATCCCTTTATTTAGGGGATCCAAAATTTTTAGATAAATCCGTATTAAGGCGAACCACATTGAAATGTCTTTTATCAAAGTTGAATAGATGTATGTTATAATAAAGCTACCGTTTTTAGAATTTCAAACAAAACATACAGTTACGTATTCACTGGGTAAAATATATGGTTTTAACTAGGTTACATAGCTAATTAAAAAGGTTTGTTATAATCATTACGTAATGAAATTTAGAGCGTTTTATTGTGTTTTTCAAACATGTCTTAGTTACACTTGATTAATTTAGCAATTCTAGTGAAAGTTACTTCCCTTGAATAAAATTTTGTTATTTGGATTTTCAAATGGGAGATAATTCGTTGCTTAACTTTACATTCAATTTAAATTCCTGCACCTTAGGTTGACCGCTTACATAAATACAACTTTAAGTTATTATTTATTATTTGTTACTGTAAAAAATTATATAGAGCTTAAGTTCAAAACAAAATAGTTTGGTAGGTTTTTCTTAGCATTACCAAGTTGAAAAACAAATACATCAGTAGCCGTTGTAGATTGCAATATTTAATGTTTGTAGACACAAGTCTTACAGTCTTAGTCGTAAATTAAACATCTAATTAATTGTCTTTTCATATTTTTGACCCTCTCCTAAAGGATTCATATATAACAATTTTAGGCTGGAATCTATAACATTTATAACCTCTTGTTTTTCAAAAACAAAAAAAAAATCGTTACATAATCACACAATTTAGACATTTTACAATTATATTTATAACTAAAGACAGTCACAGAGGCGTAGCGACCCTCCCCGGCGCCCGGGGACAAGCTTTTCGATTTGCACACCCCCCCCCCCCCCCTCAAGATTTCGATTTGCACCCCTCCCCCCCTCAAACTCTCGATTTGCACCCCCCCCCCCTCAAACTTTCAATTTATTTTTCCAACCCATTTTGGCGCTCCCTAAGGTCGGCGCCCGGGTACATATGTCCCGTCCCCCCCCCCTCGCTACGCTACTGGACAGTCAAGCTTAAAACAGGTAAGTTCCGTTTTGGAACACACCTTGGGAGGACTGCAGAGAGTCGAACACTACAAGAACTTTTTTTCAGTGTTTTTTTTTCAAAACTTTTCCCCCCGGGAGGGGGGGGGGGGGGGGGGGGGGGGGGGGGAAAGCACTTAAAATTTTCTAAGGGGGGGGGGGGGCTATGTCGTAAAGTACAAAGTAGACTCGTGGACGTAATTTTGTGACGGTGTGTGAAATGTTAGAAAACGAATTTCAGACGTTATTTCGCGTTTTAGAAAACTGTTTTAATAAGTTGTAATAGGAATCGATTAAAATACTCTATTTTGACAGAGTTCAGACAAGATTTTGGAAAAATATCGATGTTTAAAAAAAAATCAACTGCAATTTTGAGGGGGGGGGGGAGGTTGTAGTATGAGGTGTGACGTCATTTTAGGGGGGGGGGGGGGTCTGGCTTTTTGTGACGATGTCTGACGGAGGGGAAGGGGGGAGGTAAAAATTGTCCAAAAAAGCGTGACGTCATTTATCGATGACCCCTTATGGGGTTCGTTCGGCAATATAGCTCACATAAGGAGAATTTTACTGGCAGTTATTTTTAAGCCCTCATCGATGGCTTACAGTCTGACCAACAAATTTTCCGTGTAGCCTAGTTATCTATAGAGGTGCGTGCAAAAAAAATCAGCCAGATGTACAGAGGCTAAGTACCCTGAAATCTGTATTAAAATTACCTTGTTTTTCACATAAATTACAAATGTTGTATAGGGAAGACTAATCAAATTTGACCTCTTTGCAAATTTTTCCCGGATATGGCGAGTTTTTTCTGACACCCCTAGGCGTTTTTGTACCACCTCACAAAATATCAAGAAGGGGGGGGGGGGGGTGTCGTTCGGCAATAGTTTTTTCGATATATAGCTCAATAAGGCGTCAGTCAGTCGAGGACATTTTTGACCCTCTTGTCGTGGACTTTGCGGCCAACCGGCACCTGTGGCGCCGGGAAGTGCCCTGTCGGATTTTAAAAAATAAATATAATAACACCACTATTTAAATTACAATAAAGAAAAGCGTGGGTCACTTTGTTATCTATTGGATACCTTTACTAATAATTTTGGAGGAGACCCACGCTTTTCTTTATAGTAACATTTGTAAAAAAAAAATGTTGTATTCAATATAAGCCGTGGAAAAGCCGTTTTGAATTATTTTATCAATTCAAATATTTTTTAAAAACGCCCCCAACCTCTCCTTGAAGTCAACCGGATTTGCCAGGGAAAGTAAAACAACGAAAATCACAATTTTTTTTCCTGTAGTAAAATAAACAATAGCTGTCAATGGGATATATTCTAGTAGTTATTTATATTAAATAATATAACATCCCCTATCACCACAACATCCTGGCTCAACTAATCCAAATAAAAAATAAGTGTTGCTTATTTATATTACTAGTAATTATTTGTTTCAATTTCTCTAGCCTTAATAAAACCGGAATTTTATTTTGTACTTTTTTCACAAATGAAAACAAATATGCTTTCTGGCAACGACTATTTGGAACCAGCTTTTCAAGCCTGTTCTACTAGCATTCTCTACTACTCAGACACACCATCAATTAAGTTTTACATCATCTCAAATATTAATGTAATTTTTTGAGAATGTTTCTGAAAAGTAAAAATCTAATTAAAACATACAAAGAAAAGAGTTAACATCACAAGAGAGAAAACAACAGGGCAACTTTATTTTTAGTGGAAATGGTGTTTTTATTTCTAATCAAAGCGATATACATAGCTTAAGACAATACATTCACAAGTTTTTATTGAAAGAAGCAGAATCTGCACAGAAATATGACATCAACTCATTAAACATCTTTTGTTATTAAAAAAAAAACCTCATTCCATTAAAGCCCATCAGTTATTTGTTAATCTGCGACTGTTTAATAAAAACATCAAGCAAATTAATGACCTATCTTGAACACAAACTAGAGTAAAATGAAAAAAAATATCCTGTGGGGAAACATTGAATCTGTATCTGCTTCTACATCTCAGGTAATAAAAAAACAAAATTTACATGGCCATTTCCAGATCTAGATAAAATGATGACAGTTGTTATAATAAATATAGAGTTAACTGTAATATTTGCTTACAATGACTGGTACACATACAAAAATTAGGGGAACAAGGAGGAGAAAAAATAAAATAATATATCACACCCATTCACAGCCGCAGTGCGCTGGGGAATGCATGTGCTTACTTTAATGTAAAAAATTCTTCAAGTTTGTAGGCCAAAACAAAGTCCATATTTAATAAATACATGATAATTCAGTAGAAGCCAATCCAGATAACTCTTACAAAATTTTGTACTTCAAGATGATGATGCATTACTTCCCTTTATCTCATTAACAAAGAGGGGAGCATAAATTCAACCACCTTGAATTAGGCTTTTAAGCCCACAAAACTAGATAGTTAAATATCTAACAATTCATCTATTGCACTAGAAACAACAATTTTTATTATTATATATTGGAATGCATTTGTTTTATCAACACAACCATTTTTTTTCTCACAGCACTTTTCACTAGTATCTGGTTGGCTTATACAGAATTAACATTACCAATTTTTAAAAGTTTTTATTTCCAATAATGTTAATCAAGGATTATAGTTTGAATATTTTTGTAGGGTAAAGTTCAACAGCAGCTTTGTAATGAAACTCTCCTGGAACTGGAATGTTCTGCTGGCTCCCAATCACCCAGTTACAAGAAAAAAAAACAACCAATGGCCAGACAGTTAAAGAACACAAGAGTATGGTTGTTGTAGATGGTTACATTATGTGATCTTCACTTAACACTTTGACCAGGCTGAACAATACAGGTGTTGAAGGAAATACCTGTCCAATTTATAAATTATCTTTGTTATTAAGCTAAAAAGTTATTTATTTTAATCTATTGTACTTGAAAAAATTTAAAAAAAAAAAAAAAAATTAGTCAAAGAAGCTTGAAAAGTATGAGTTAAATTATTAATATTTACATAAATTAGGTGGTCTGGAGTTAAAAGGTGATCTAATTAATTAATTAATGTATAAACAAGCTTAACACAAGTATAACAATTACATTGAAAGTAGAAGGAAAAAATGGTTTTCAAACTCTTAACAACTAAAGCTATACATATTTAACAGTTAATTAGCTTGTAGATTAAAATTATCTAAAAAAAGTTTAGAAATTTGTGTTAAAAATATTTTAAATTCAATGATCTTTTAACTGTTAATAGCAGAAATTGTGCTTATGACATGTAGAATTGAAAACAAAAATTTGTACAACTTGGTCTATAGAAGAAAAAAAAATTATAAAGAAAGACAAAATAGAAAGTAACCCACCATCTCTAATGCCATACCACTGCGTGAATATGTTCTTGTAAAAATGATAGCATATACATACATTACATAGGTATAGAGGTAACAATGCTCTTGCTACGACACAAAAAAAGTGATCTACAAAATACACCTAGACAAAAAAAAAAAAACATCAAATTCTTCGATTTGCTCACATGAAACCACTGAAAAAAACTCTACCGCTGGGGACCAAATGATGAGTAAAACACCTAAAACAGCAAAAATAACACTGAGATGTGGGTGAAGGTTGGTGATATTCAATTAGTGATGGAGGCACATTTCTTGACACAACTCAAAGACTCCACTGTAACAAACTCAATTGATTTTCTTTCTATGACTTAGCTAGTTTTCTAAGTTTATTTCGTTGAGAAACAACTGGTCATTTGAGACTGAATTTATAACTCTTTAAGTCTATTTTAAATTAAAATTTCAAAATAAGTTTTTGAAGAATAAACATATTTAGTCCGAAATTTTGAGTTGGAATGAAATGTGTAGGTATGAACCAGCTATATACATAATTAAGCTATATAGTCACAGAACAATTATTTTCTTTAGTAAACAAACAAAGCATTTATTATGGAATTTACACAAAGTAGATAAGCAATTGAAGCATGTATATTCAGAGCTGAAAAATATATAGGACAGGATGGTTTTTCCTTGCAACCTGAAAAAAATATTAAATTTGAAACTTTTCAAAAAAAATTTAATAGAATTTGGAATTTTTTCTGATATATTTTAAAAACTGAAATTTAGTTTTTTAAATCATGCAGTTTAAAATGCTGCATCCAGCTGTTATTTATCCTTCTAATAAATTCCATGACAAATGGGCAAGAGTATCACTGTCCGGCTTTAACCTCCATATCACACTGTTCCAAGTTAGAATAAAATGGGAAACAAAAATAAAGACCACGAGTAAAAACATGTTGAGGGGGAAGATGATTTCACGTTGCTGATGATGACGAATGGTGAGTATGGTACGATGACACGTATGTGCTTCCAAGAAATTGATGAAATTAATGTTCAGATGAGTCTTCTATTGAAGAAGTGATGTTGACAGTATTGTTTGTACATTATTTTCTGAATTAAATCTTAATGAATAGAAATTTTTGTACTGTAAAATTAATATCCAGTTTTGAAATTTATTTTTTTTAAAAAATGTTTTAGCATCCAAAAGTTGTAAGTAAATTGTGTTCTATCACTATTAGTTTTCCTGGTTGAATGGGTGAGACTTTAGCTGAGAAAATGTCTCAAAATTGTCCAACAATGATGCACACAAGTTGTAACAGAGCTAAACATCATGTATGGATGATGACAGAGGGTGACGATCCTCAAGCTTTGGGATTGTTCTGTACCTGTGTGTATGAAAAAAGGATACAGATTTAATTATTTTAATCGGAAAAGCACAAATCATCATTGAAAAGTAAAGTTCCCTCTCAAACCTGATGGTCTATAGGGCAAGTGAAGTAGAGTTCACTTGTTTCTGTGAGCTCGGAATATGAAGAGATAGTGTGGTCAGCACTATGCCCTGCCGCCTTTACTTTACTTTTCCTAACATGAGTTAGGTACCCATCAGAGTTGGGTTGGATTCGCACTCGAGACTTACGGGTTAGCAGTCCAGCTCTCTACCGCTAGACCACTTCGTCCCCTAATCATCATTGAGGCTAAGTTATATTGTTTCAAAGCTAAGAAAAAAAGTAAAATTCCCTAAAGTGATGTAGAATTCATCTCTATTTGTGACCTTGCCTTTATCTAATATAATTTGCTTAACCAAACTACACTAAAGTAAGCTAATTTTATGTTATTTTAGTATTTCTTAAGTTAACTTACAAGTATTATTTTGAGAACTGATTACTATTACTACTAACCATAAATTTAAAATTAACTACATTTCCTCAGCTGTAACTAAATTTTGACATTCATGGAAACAGTTGCTAAGCAAAGTTGGCTGATTTTGAGGTTTTTCAGGTAGTCTTAAAACTGATTACACTAGTGATAATTTTTTAGATTAATGACATACATTTTATCAAAGGTGTATTTAATTACTGTGATTTTTACCTCAAAGTATTTGTATGTAGGATTCTCATATCCATTCATCTGCATGTTGGCTAGATGTCTTTCCTCAGGGGAGGCTGATGGGTCCACCTGTAAAAATAAATGTCACTAGTTTTAATTTTTAAAAAACAATCTTATATTTTCTTACTCTAACATTGGTGTTAAGTTTTTTAAATTATCAAATTAATTACATTTTTATTAAAGGGTATACATTTTCAGGCTAGGTATTGTTTTGATAATAAACACTCTATTGGGCTACTGCTTATTATAAATTTTATTCAAACTTAGCTAAATGATTGCTCTAAAAAATGGTATTTCAAGCAATAAATAAAATTATAGATAGGGCTAATTAGGGCTTTATAAATTATGTATGATTACTAATAGGTTGTTAAAAATGAAATTAAACCTTTTTTTGTTCTTTTATTAGTAATTTCAGAAAAAGAAAATTTTCCAAATTTTGTATGACTACTAGAACCTAGTAGGTGGTTACAAATCTAAATATAATTTAATTTTGGTGCAATTTCAAGTGAAGTAATTTCCATTCAGAGCATTTAGCAGGTTCGATTGGATGAGGTAATTTAAGCTGAAACATCACTTTAGCAATACATGTTCTCAGGTAGGGATAACGTTGCTTTCTACTGGATAGTATAAGAACCAGAGAGCACAAAAAAAAAATAATAGAAAAAGCTGCTGACCTCCACATAACCGTGTGTGACTGACTGCCTCGTCTTGTTGCGCTTCAGCATGATGATGGCCACCACGATGATGACGAACACACTGACGCTGCCCAAGGCGATGCCTATAGTGCTGCCAACCTGGCTGCTTGTTGCTGCTGACTCGGCCAGGCCCTGGCAATCACATGATACAGAGAGGTTAAGTTAACGTCACAGTGAGCTCAATTTTATACAAGTCTAAAAGTATTTCAGACATCAGAGAGATTAATTCAACATCGGCCAGGCCCTGGCAATCGCATGATACAGAGAGGTTAAGTTAACGTCACAGTGAGCTCAATTTTATACAAGTCTAAAAGTATTTCAGACATCAGAGAGATTAATTCAACATCGGCCAGGCCCTGGCAATCGCATGATACAGAGAGGTTAAGTTAACGTCACAGTGAGCTCAATTTTATACAAGTCTAAAAGTATTTCAGACATCAGAGAGATTAATTCAACATCGGCTAGGCCCTGGTAATCGCATGATACAGAGAGGTTAAGTTAACGTCACAGTGAGCTCAATTTTATACAAGTCTAAAAGTATTTCAGACATCAGAGAGATTAATTCAACATCGGCTAGGCCCTGGTAATCGCATGATACAGAGAGGTTAAGTTAACGTCACAGTGAGCTCAATTTTATACAAGTCTAAAAGTATTTCAGACATCAGAGAGATTAATTCAACATCGGCTAGGCCCTGGTAATCGCATGATACAGAGAGGTTAAGTTAACGTCACAGTGAGCTCAATTTTATACAAGTCTAAAAGTATTTCAGACATCAGAGAGATTAATTCAACATCGGCTAGGCCCTGGTAATCGCATAACACAGAGAGGTTAAGTTAATGTCACATGAGTTATATTTTATACAACAGTGTAAAGGTAAGTATTTTAGGCCTAGTAGAGAGATAATTCAATGTATCAGTCTTTAGATGAGCATTTTAGACCTCAAAGAAAAATTAAACTAACATAGCAATGAGTTATATTTTATACAACAGTCTACAGCTAGTCCTGAATTAGCTTTGAACTACGTTCACTGTTCAGATTAATGCTGTGTTAAAAGAAGTCAAATCGTAGTTGTAAAAAAAAAAACCTTTGAAAACAGTGAGCAGAATGAAGATTGTATATAAAACACTGGTAGCTTTAATTCTGTATTAGAAAGCAAAACTAACAGAGTTAATTTTTGTAATTCCAGATTATCTTAATACCAGACAGGTTTTTAAAAATAAACCCAATAGTTATGTCTGCCAAAATGTTGTCAGTGCTAATTCAAATTTGGGGACGAGTTAGCCTGGTGGTAGAGTGTTAGACTGCTAACCAGAAAGTCGAGTTCAAATCCAGGTTTAAGTAAGTAGAACGTCTTACCTGTTGAACCCTATGGGTGTCCTCCATACGGTGGGCAACGAAAGGTTTCTTCTCAAAGTCATGCTCATTCTCATGGACGTCATCCCCTTGTGTGTCAATGTCCTGGTTGTTGACATCAAAGTCATTGCTCTCATCGATGTTGATGTCGTTGTTGGTGTTGACTGGCTCTGCTGCTTTAGGGGCCTCAGTCACTGGAAGTAGGGAGATCAGTACGTTCACTTAGTAAAAACAAACATCAAGTCTACTTGTGCTATTAAAATAATCAATTACAGTCTACTAACAATTTTTTTTAATAAACTAAACTTAATGTAAATAACACCAAATAGAATATACAAATACTAGATATTATGAAACAATGGAATTCAGTGTTTGTTAAAATGAATGGGGAAATAGCTCTTATGGGAGACTGGTGGGAATTTCCCAAAGGAGATACAAGGTAAATACAATTGTATCCTATCAAATCACCCATAAATACAAAAGATTAACATTAATGATTAATATATAGCATTTAATGACTTCTCCCCATGTCATTTAATTTTTCAGTACAGGATATATTCTATGATGGTGAATTTTAAATGTCTAAACCAAATGTCAATTACAGAATGACTGACACAATACCATTTGAGTGTAAATATAGAATTATCTGAGAGCAGTACAAATTTTTATGTAATATATAACATGACACAAATCATACCCAAAAACAATAATTTAGAAAAATGATAGGTGCAACTAACTAGTAACAGTTTCTATGCTATTGCCTATTAACTTTTTGTTTGTTTATGCAATACTGTAATAGCTTTATAGAAACATAAACAGCGCTAAGATTTACTTGATTTTTTTTTCTGATTGGCGCAACACAATATTTCCCAGAGGAATAAGCCAATACTCAGAGCCTACATCAAAAAGATTTTCACTAATAGTTTTGGTTATTTTATTTTGAATAAAACATTAGCAGTATTAATACCGTTTTTAAAAAGGTATAAGACAATATTAAATGAGAACAGTAGACTAAAAACTCACATAAGGGAGGGGGGAGGTGAATATTTTGAGACTTGTAATTTAAGTGGCTCGCCCAAGACAGAGTGGAATGGTGGAGATTTGTTGCTGCCCTAGACTCCACAGGGAGTGATGAGGATTAAGTAAGTAAGTAATTTGAGCAAAAACAGTCATGTTGCCTACCTTCATCACTCTCACTTGAGTCACTGTCATCATCCACCTTGATCTCAGGGAGAACCACATCTCTGATGCTGTTGGCAATGGACTCAAACCTCTTCATGAACTCATCTGGGGTGGGATGAAACATTTCATGAGCATCTCAGGTGGAATTTATGGTTAGAGAAGAGAACTCACCCATCCAATATGTAAATAAAATTCTAAATCAAAGCTGTTATTTTTATGGCACACATTAGTTTTTGCTCTGCACTTAATATTATGATCAGGTCATACCCTTATCAGCTGGAAATATTAGAGGAGTCCCTTGCTAATCCTGCTAAATCACTTTGGATTGATTTTTTGGAAATAGTCTTTTTAAATTTTTTCTTAACTTATTTTTTGAATTTTTACTGTTTAAATATATTTTAGAATATAAAGATGGAATTGTAATTTGCAACATAATTGTCAGCCTAGCTAGTTTTATAATTTTTTTTTTACTATTAAAGGTATCTATTTTAGAACAAAAAACATACTTATTGATAAAATAATTGTCAACTTATTTAAAAAAAAATTTAAATGTTGAAGTGAATATTTTAGAACAATAAAGTGTATAATTATTGACAAGATTGTCAACTTACTTTAGAATTTTTTTACTGTTAAAAGTATATATATTATTACAAAAAAGTGTTTAACACCGTAATTGACTCTCTGAAACAGCCTGCAACTCAAGCAATTATTGACAACAGGTTACAGCACCCCAAGTTAACAGCCTAAACATGTTCCTAACGAGATAACCCAATCAGTCGTTTACTCACCAATCTCTGGCTTGACCTTGACCTCAACATCAGGGTAACGTGTGAGAAGCTGCAGGGCCTGGTCGATCCTCTGCTCGGACAGCCTCAGGTGGTTGATGATGAGGGGGTGGATGCGGGCGGCCTCCTGGGGGTTGGAGTACTTGACGTGCTCGAAGTGGTTGACAGTGTGCATCCTGTCCTTCTCCTCCGCCTTGATGTAGCCGCGCAGGTAGCGGATGATCCTCTCAACCTGTACGGGCACAGCATTCTAATCAAGTAATTTGGAGAGCACTAATTAAAATTTAACATCAGCAGCAGTCTACCTTCTATTTAAATATATTGTTATTTCCTTAAAAAGCACAATTATAATCAAGTTAATAATATATATATATATAAACTTACATTTCCCATTTTAGTAAGATAAATGTTTAGACAATGTCTAATAGAAAAAACAAGGATATAGAATACAATGCCTAAAAACAAAATAACATTTTTCCTACCTAATGCTTGCTTTGTTATAAAAAACAAAAAGTTATAGGTGTTTGTGATTTAAATGAACAAACTTTGACATTTTGAAAGGCAGAACAAAGCACAACTTTCTGTGATTTAGTAGAACAATTCTCCTAGTGGTGCTATGATATAGTCGGCATGACTACATATGAGTAAAGTATGGGATTGAGATACGTGTATTTGTGACAAGATTTTAGTTGTACGGCTTTTAAAAAGTATTAAGAAAACCCAAAGAGAACTTACATCTCCCTTCTCCAAAGCACTCATGTATTTATCCATGGCCTCTCTCTTCTTCTCGTTCAGGGCGGCCTGTACGTGCTGTTGGTGGAGGGCTACCAGCTGCTGTTTCTCTGAGTCATCCTCCTGTTCATAAGCTGCGTACAGGTTCTGGAACCTCTGGGAACAGCAATTAAGCAAATATTTAGTTATTATGGTATAACTCTAAATACAATAAATGAATATAAAACATGACAACATTAAAAATTATAAGGTCTTCGATAGCAACATATTAGAAACTTTTGTTTTATCATAGCTATGAGTATACTGAAAGTATACAGTATTTCTTATAGCTGTTATGGAAGAAGAATGGTTCAGCAGTAGAGCAAGTGACTGCCAACACAAATGATGAGAGTTTGCTTACAGGTGTAATAAGGTTGAAGAGTCAACCCATGTTGGTGTGCAGCTTACATGAGAAGGTAAATATGTCTGGGAAGGTACTAGCCATATGGTGTTCTAATAGTGGCTATAGAAACATGATATCTGTTTATTATATCCTACTGGTCATTAGGTTTTAAAGAGAGCTGGGCTAGTGAGAGTTTGGTTCTTTGGTTCCAGGTGTAATAAGATTGACAAGTAAACTCAGATTTGTGTGAAGCTTGATACCATGACAAAGTTAATGTGTCTAGTCATATGATCTAATACTGACTATAGAAACATGAAATCTATTTAATCTATCCTACTGGTCATTTGGTTGTAAAGAGAGCTGGACAAGATAGAGTTTGGTTCCAAGTGTGATAAGGTTGACAATTCAACCCTGGTTTGTCTGCAGCTTACATGAGAAAGTAAATGTATTGGGGAAGGTACTGTCCATACAGTGTTCTAATAGTGGCTATATAAACATCACATTTGTTTTATCTACCCTACTAAGTTATTAAGAGAGATGCACTGGTACAGTCACAAGATAAATGAGAAAGTCTGTGTGTAGGGGACAAAGTGCAGATGTGGAAGAGGTAACTCACTGTTGTGATTTCTTTAGCCATGACATCAGCAGATTTAGGATCAGTTTTCCTGACCTCGTTGACGTGGTCTCTGGCTGCTTGCCACTCTTGGAGGAGCTGGTGTATAAAGAAGATGTAACTAATTAACATTGCTATAAAAGTAGTTCTGAGAAACAGGGACAACTTTTATTTAAAAGTAATAAGTTAAGTTGCCACTCTTGGAGGAGCTGGGGGATAAAGAAGATATAACTAATTAACATTGCTATAAAAGTAGTTCTGAGAAACAGGGACAACTTTTTATTTCAAAGTAATAAGTTAAGTTGCCACTCTTGGAGGAGCTGGGGGATAAAGAATATATAACTGATTAACATTGCTATAAAAGTAGTTCTGAGAAACAGGGAAAGCTTTTTATTTAAAAGTAATAAGTTAAGTTTCTTTTCCAGACCATATAATTTTATCGCATCTTTGACCAAAGTATTTTGAGAGTTAAACACCTTTCTTGAGATATCATCTGGATTCATTCTTATGATGTGCTCGATTTAGTTTTTTTTTACTTATTTTGGAAAACTGCTTCCATTTCCATCTTTCATAGTAGTCTATCATTTAAGATGGTGTTATGTAAGTGGATGCCTTTTTATCCTTCACAGGCACTTAGTTTGTAAAGAGTCCAGTGATCTCTGTGGCGGATGTTACTTTTCAGCATTCGCTGCCATACAGTAGGATGTTAAGAACAAAACTTTTAAAAGTCTGCATTTGGTCTTGTAGATTTTCGTCAATCACCTTTTTTTATGGTTGCAAAGGCTTGCTTGGCTTTAGAGATGCAGGTTTTGATTCATTCCAGTCAATAATTATATAGGCAACACAAACTATAAAATCTTGTAATTCTACAAGCACATACTACATGACACGTACCTTGGTGATTTTGTGCTGCTGGTTCTTCTTCATGCGATCTTTGGCAGCCAGGAACTTCTTGTGTTCGTTGTTGTATTTAGCAGGGAAGTCTTGTCCTCGCAGGTAGGCCTCATACAGGTCGATGCTGTTTTCATCTTTCTGCTGAAATAAACATAAGATTTTAGAAATCTACACATACATATATACATAATATGCTGCTTTCATCTTTCTGCAAACAGAAACATAGGATTTTAGACCTCTGCACATACATGGATTTACCTTTAGTTTGTGAAATGTGACATTTTTTATAAAATAGCTTAAATGTGCTAAATTAGGTAGAAAAAAAATTGGGAGGGTCAACTAAAGTTTAAGTAATGAAGTAAAGAGAGTTACACTGTTCTGGTAAAATCTAATTCAACAAGAATATGCATAAACATGGGATATTTTCAACCATTAAAGATGTTAAGTCCGAGTTATGACTTGGCCCTTTGAAACAATATACCATATTGTGGACGGAAAAAAAAAAAAAAAGCTTTTTTTTAAAAAAAAAATGGCTTTCTGTTCAATGGCAATTATTTCTTCTTCATTCAAAATATATACAGGTCTCTATAAAACTAACTAATATTAAATTAAGTGTTTTACATTATTTGTACAACTGTGCAAAAAAATATGGATAATTCTACACTCTCAATTCTTAAATGGTGAAGGCACAAGAGAGTCAAGAAAATAGATCTTTTAAGCAAGTGTTGTACCCTCACCTCACCCAAAGTTAAATAAATGATGTTGTTTGTTTAAAATAAATCTTTATTTCTGCCACATATAATTTAAATACTGATTTTAAAACCAATAGTTTTATTTATGTTTTAGAAAATGGACAATCCTGCATGCCTCATCACTGATATCCAACACATATTTTTTCTATGTATCCTTATTTTTAAAGAGTTTTAAGCTTAAAGACAGTCTTCGAAATGTGAAAATAAAACATTAAAAATCTCTACCAGTAAAAGCCTTGAATTTTTTTTTTAACAATATATTAAATAGAGGTATTTTGGTGAGGTTTCATGTACTACTGCTATTTCCATTCATCTCAGAGCTAGTGAAATCTATGTGGCAGTATAGAAAGTACTTTTAACAGAATGACGCAAACCAACTTGGACTTAAATGAGAAGGGACCCTAACTCATTTGTATTTATTTAATTCATTTGTATTTATTATAAAGTGAAATTTTATAAAACATTTTATTTTTACTAAATTGTATTTTACTACAGGTTTTTATTTGGAATTTGAAGTTTTTATTTTTTCATTTTGTAGTTAAGTTCCAGAGGAAGTAAAATAGATTGTAATGGGGAATATTTAAAAAAAAAAATGTTGAAATAACTTGTAATCTTTGTAGTGTCTTGAGTGGAAGAGAAAATCCTAAATTTTTTTTACTACTTTCAGAGATCTTTTTGAACTGATAACAGTACAGCTGAAGTGAGTTTCTATAGCCAAAATGTGATGGTAGCTTTTAATTTTGTTGTAAAGCTTAAGAGGATGTAAAACTAGTTGGTAATGGGAAATATTAAAAAGATGTTGAAATATCTTGTAATGTTTGTAATAGGATCTTTTTGAAATGATAACAGTTAAAGTATAGTTGATATGTTTCTGTAGCCACAGTAAGATGGTAGGCTACCCTGATTATATGGCATAATTTAGTTACAAGTTAAAGTTCACAAGACTAAAAAGTTTCCTTCAAAACAGAACCAAAAATATTTTGTCATATAAAGCATATTACCATAAAAATAAGAGATTATTCTACATTATTTTGCCAAAAAAAATGCCCCTGTAATTTTACTAAGGAATATTCTACAGAATTAAGCCAAAATGTTCATGTCTAATCTGAAGAATTAGGGACAAACAACAGAATTACCATCGGACCTGTAATTAAATTGAGCAAATGGTGGTCGAGTAAAAGTTCCCTTTTCAAACCTGACGGTCTATAGGGCAAGTGAAGTAGAGTTGTTCCTGTGATCTCGGCATATGAAGAGATAGTGTGGTCAGCACTATGCCCAGCCGCCTTTACTTTCCCTAACATGAGTTAGGTACCCATCAGAGTTGAACCCAGATTCAAACTCGAGACTTACGGGTTAGCAGACTTAAGGGTTAGCAGTCCAGCTCTCTACCACTAGACCACTCCGTCCGGTCGTCGAGTAGAATATGTGTAAGTGCCATAAAAATATTTAAAAAAAAAATGTTTCCCGACAAATTATGAAACTGACCACTGACCTCTTCACTACTGCTGCTGGGGCTGGTAGAGACAGCCTCGTTGTTAGACTTGCTGGCGTTGGCCTCTTCGTTGTCATCCACATCATCGTGGGAGTTCTCCCAGTTGTCTGGCTTGTCATCCTTCTGTGGGGCGTGGTAGTTGGGATCAGCTGATGAGATAAACAAAAAAGATTTCATTAGTTCAAAAGTTGAAAATAAACTGGTGCTATACAAAACTTTTGATGGTGTGGTCGAATGGTGGAATGCTAGACTGCCAAGCTGAAAGTATTGAGTTCGGATCCCGGGTTTGGGTGTGTAGGACGCCACTGAGTCCACCCAGCACAGATGGGTACCCCACTTGCATTAGGGAAGCAAAAGCAGCTAGGCATAATGCTGATTGCACTGGCTGCTTGTATGCATACGTCATTGATTCCATTGAGACAGCTGAACTCTACTACGTCTGCCCGATGTGTCTTGGGCATGAAAAGGATGATAATACATCACTTTTATTCATTGTAAATGTATTTAAAATTTAGGAAAATCTTGCTTAAATGCAATTACATTTTTACATAAACATCACTAAATTACAATTATAAATAAAAAATATTTATTTGTTCAAGACATGCATAAAGTGAGTAGTTTTAAAAAAGTATCTTTGAAAGAGTATTGAAAGAGGTTTTTTGTCTTTAATGTATGAAAAAAACCCAATTGTTTCAGTAGAATTTAAAGAAAATTGGAAGACTTTATGTTTGAAAGAAGGTATTGATTTTGTCTTCAGTGCATGATGACCAAGTTGACCAAGTAATGTTATTTATACTCTGAAAGAAAAACAGTAATCTAAACACAATTTTGTTCAAAGGGAGGCTAAAGCATTTGTTTAACAAAAAACAACCAGTATGCCTAGATATATATATATATTTTTTTTAAAGGTATTAACTGCATTGATTTTTCCAAATGCAAATTTTATTAAACACATTTTTAATACAAAAACTGTGACACAAGTTGAATTATATTGCAGGGAAATGTTTTGTTTCATATAGTTGTACATCATTTTGAGGCACACATTTTATACAGTTGTGCATCATTCTTGTTATTACAAAAATTTCAAGCTGTCTCACATACTTGAAAATAGGACTGTGAAAAGGGAGACAAAACATAAAGTGGCAGTTCTCTCCCTTGGAAAAAACTACACATTTTGATTATGCCAAAAATCTGCCATTCAAAAATCTATTTTTTTCTCTTATGTCTTCTGCTGGGAGTAAAACGGGTAAGTTAAGCAGAGACACACCTTAATTGTAGGTTAAGCAGACACACGTTAATGGTAAGTAAAGCAGAAAGAGGGCGATGTATTTGTTCAACCTCATGGGTCTAGTAAAAAATGCGTACACAAAGCTGGGTATAACAGAGAAGAAAAAAAAACAACACTTAACCCTTAGCTTATACTGTGGCCTACAGTAAGGCATCTGAGAGACGGGAGACAACACAAAGACATCCATTACCCAAGGGTTAAAATACGAGTAAACTTTAAACCAAGGCTGTGATTAACACTAACCCCCCCCCCCTACCTCCCTACCCACCGGAAGTTAGTTAGAAGGGTTCATTAGTAAGGGCTCCTGAAAATTGCTTCCCATTCGGGCGTTGGATAAAAGTCGGTAGAAGGGAACCGAATGTTTTAAGGCTGTGTGGAGAAGGGGGGAAGTTTTGGGTGTTGTTCTATTGAAAACTCGTTGTGCGGGGAGCGGTTGGGGGTGTGTGATAGAAAAGAAATTGACCAGCGTGAAAGGACACGATGTGAGTAAGGGGGGGGGGGGGGCAGGTTGGATAAAGAGGAATTTGATTTGCTAGCGGACAGTGGAGCGGGGTCTGATTGATATTTCTAGTAGAAAAACTAGTCGCGGTGACAAGTGAAGAAAATGAGGTCGCTATGAGGAGGGTCTGCCGCCATGATGGATTAGGTTTGGAGATCTGAAACACAAGGGGAGGGAAGAGAGGTGGTGTGTGTCCACAAATGGCGACACGGACACACGTAGGAAAGGGGTGTTTTGAGATATATGGGAATGAATGGGTGGTCAAGAAATGTCACCTTGGAATACTGTTTTTGTTTTCAGAATAATAGATGAAAAACATATACCTTTACCTTGTTTTAATTTATGGATGCGGGGTTAGAATAGTTAGGTTCTTAAAGGAAAAGGGTTAACTGCTATACAGTAGCGCGGTGTGATGATAGTGGTGTTGGGGTGTAAATCAACTAAAAATATAATACATGTCGTATACAGTCGATGAGCTGGTGACAGTATAACTTTGAAGACCACCGGCTATTTTCACGATTCTTGAAACGTGAGTCATAGCGACGAATTTTTTTTTCCAATCGAGTCATTAATGAAACGAATTATTCTTGAAGTTTAACAAGAAAGCAAGATGAAGGTGTTCTTTTTTAATGTATAGTAGACTTTATTGTTTAGTGACTAATCAGTTTTGTACGTCAGTTTTGTTAAAGCGTTAAAACTAATTTTACGATGCTAATACAATTAGCTTTACGCGGCAGTATTGGTGAAGCCGTAAAGCTTTACTGTCTTTCACGACGAGATGAATTAGTGGTTGGTTGCTGTAACGGCCATGAAGACACTAGCTTATATTTGAACATAGACACACATCGACAACTGGGAGGGTTAAATCAATGTCTTCATAACTAGATTCAGTGGGTTGAGGAAAAAAAAGTGACACTTTTTTTTTCAAGTTAACAAACATACCATCTTTAAATTATTTTATTTGAAAGTTTGTTTTTTTTTAAATTTATTTATCAAGCCTACGAAGCATTAACAAGCTTTAGTGTTAGCTTAAGGGGTGCAAATGCTGGCACATTTATTCCATGCGCGTGAAGAAAAATGTGCCCGCGCATAAAAATGAACCACAGGGAATGGAGGACACTGCTGTAGTTAACGCCATTTTGGTCTAGAGAGACGGCATCGATGCTCATCCCTTCAGCAGTAACCTGAGAGATAATCGCTATGGGGGTCCAACGCCCTTTTTTTACACAGGCGCCTGGCAGAAGAGTATTCAATTCGACAGGTAATAGATCTAGATGCTGAGTTTTGGAAGTAGCTAAAGGTTAATCTGTACACACACACACTACCATATAGGACAGAACGTGTCCACGTTACCCGAAACATATTTTAAATCCATATAATCTTAAGTTTAAACAGTGGGGTAGCTTTGTGGAGGAGGGGGGTGGAGTGGTAGCGGGCTATCCGCCAGAGTTTCTTCCAGGCATCTCTTCGGGGGGGGGGGGGGGGGGGGGGGGGGGGGGGCTTTGCCCCCCCCCCCCGAAATTTTTTTACCGCCCCCCCCCCCCCAACGAAATGAAATTTATATAATTTATATAGAAAATATATACTTTTAGCAGTGTCCGCCCCCTCCCCCCCCGGAGAAAAATATCTGGAAGAAACACTGCAATCCGCACCCCCCCCCACCCAACTTAAGACTTAATTTCTAGACATACTATTCAGCACTTTTTTCAAATTCACAAAGAAAACAAAGATTATTTAAAATTGTCAACAAGCTAATAAAAAAAAACCGTTCCATTTCCGCTAACTTAATCTTCTCAAAAAGAAAAAATGTGTTCTATAATCTCTTTGCTATTGATTTTAAATATCAACATTGTTGTTGGTTCTATAGTGTGGTGTAAAAAAAAAAAAAGAAATATTTTTAAACAAGAGCTGTTAAGCTTAAACTCCGTAGCTGAAAAATGTTTGACCAAACAAATGCATCTTAATTAGCGCTGATTTGGCCCGTTAGTTTGTACACGAGATCCATCACAATCGATGAGAACATCACGTGACTGGTCGGTTTATTGTAGTGGTCTGAACAGGAAGTTCCTAATCGTCGGCTGAGTTCCCGCCATTGCTGTGGGTTGGACTTCAGAGTCAACAGAGAGGCGAGGTTGTCTTTGTGGTCTCTTTACAACCTTCAAGCACCACATACCGATGCTAATAGTTGTAACCCACCCTTTCTTAGGTGTGTCTGTGTCAATTTCGATTGCAATTTACAAGTATTCCATTGTGATGCCAGTGTCTATACTAATAGTTATATCCCAACCTTTGATAAGTCTGTGTCTATTTCGACTGCAATTTACAAGTACCCTATAGCCATGCCAATGTTGATAATAGTAGCTGTGTCCCAATTTTTCTTAGATATCCCTGTGTCTATTGCAATAGCAATGTTATTTTTAACTATCCCATAGCGATGCCAGTGTCGGTACTATATACGTCTGTGTCGATTTCGATTGCAATCTATAAGTACCCCATAGCGATGCCAGTGTCCTATACTAATAGTTCTATCCCAAACTTGGATAAGTCTGTGTCTATTTCGACTCTGGCTGCAATTTAAATCGAGTTAATTTAATGGTACAGATGGTGTGTGAGCAGGAGGGATGGTTAGCCCCCCGGGTGGCCTTTCCCCTATGTGAATATATTCTAAAAGAGCGACAAAAATCAATACCCCCGCCCCTATAAATAAATTATATACAGGGGCCCAGGATCGAGAACTCGCCCCGGGCAATGAATAGCGTGGCTACGCCTATGGATGTCCTGTACAATATAATACAGTAATGCTACCAGAAATTGCTGCAGGAGTTTAGCGGGAAAAAAAAAAACAAAACAAGCATTGTTCTTAAAAACCAACAACTTGAAATGACGAAAGAAATCAATAGATTGTTGGAACTAGCAGAAGGAAGACAGGCAGGAATGAAAAGACGACGCGAGAGAGAAAAATAAAATAATAGAAGGGTTATATCTTGCACGGCTATAGAACGTGCCAAACATGAATGCAACTCTACGTCTCAATCCAAAACAAAAGAGAAGAAAAAAAGTTATTTTAGCAGCCTCGGTGTGAAGCATGTATAGATTACAAGCCATACGGTCCTGGGCTAATACATCAAGCTGTAATAAGCGTTTATTGCGTTATTTATTCCTCGTACTCAACGTTTCAAAGCCAGGGCCGATATGAGAAATCGACTTTTTTCTCGATGTGAAAAAAAATAATCGATACGACACCTATGAGTGTTGGCCTGACAACGCGATTCATCCCCAGGCAATGACGTGGGCAGGATCGAGCTGGGGGGACTGACGGTTGCGATACTAGAGTAATCGTGATGACAAGAAGCGCAGGGGGG